ATCTGAATGGTGTAGAACCGCGTCTTTGCAACAAATCTTTGGTGAAATAAAGAAATATGGAAAACGCTGCCGAGCTATTCATCAGCACGACAATGCATGCTCTTAAACACCTCTTCTAACGATCGTCTGTTTAAACGGTCACAAAACTGACTTAGTTGCTCATCTGTCGCACTGTCCTCATTTCATACTCAATGACTTTCTTTTGTAAGCAAACGTCAAGAATAAATTGGATGGACAGCAATTTTTGGTCGACAAAAACCATGTGTTGACGGCGTCATCAACAGAACGGAGAAAATGAAAGAGAATGTTTCAACAAACAATAAAACAAGTTTTAATGACAAGTTTGTGCCCTTTGTATATCTATTTGTAACAAAATCAATTAATGGATTAGAAAGTCAGACAACCTCGAAAAAATTCCAACATTTCTTCAGATATTCATTGGTAGTTGAAGGGATAAATTTCTGAAAATCTATAAACCAAATGTTCGTTGCGATCATTATCATATTCAGTGGGGAAGTAGTTTGGATTGATTTATTAACCGATTAATTTTAGTTAATGTCCAATTTACTCTAAAGCATAACAATTTCTTCACCCAATGGCAAACACATTAGCAAATTCTATAATTATACAAGTTATGATATGATCTGCAAACGATACACCAATCCACAGTTACATGATTTTCCGTCTGCAAACTCATTCCAAGTGTGAATAATTTGGCGTTAAATTTTCTTAGGCATGTGAATGATGCCCTCGAAACTGAAAATTTACTGGCTTTAATTCGGTTAGTGTATTCGTTTGCAACGGAAATGGCACTGTTTAAATTCTCTTTGTTTCATAAATACATTAGCATAGAAATAATGTGACATACAATTAAGAAAATGATTGGGTCAAAAAAACCTAAGGTTTGTTTTTCTGTTAATTTACTCGAAATGCATCGAATGTATATAAGTAATCATGTACACAAGTACATTGTGTATACATATGAATAATCCAATTGCAATTATGTTTTCCTATTTAGTTTGTGGCTAATTACATGCACGGCTGACATTGAAATCAGCTTAAGTTTATACAACACATGTATGTATACATATTATGTAAAGCAAGGTAAATGTCCAATAATCAGCTTAAACTTAATCTAACTTTGGGTGGTATTAAAGCCAACTAAAGCACATATAAAATTTATGCGATATTAGATACCAAAGTGTTTACGGTTAATTAAAATAGAAAATAAATTACTTTACGGTATATTTCGAAGCAAATAAACTGTTGACATTTCTTTTATCAAAAAAAAAAAAAATTAATTTAAAAAAAATGCATCGAAATATTATTGATGGGAAGTTAGCTACCTCATCATGCATAGATCATATTTATGTCTTTGCTCAAAAGTGAACTTGGTTCGCATCTTTGCGGCGGGAATTGATAATTTGGCGGTAAAACAAAAAAAAAAAATAATAATAAAATTGAATAAAATTAGTCAATACAAACGTAATCAAGTTTATTGTTACAACTTACCTTAAAGAGTATGTCTAAACTTGGAGATGAAGATTTTAACAAAGATTTTAAAAAATTCAATAATTTCACTTTTTTAAGCATCTCGTGAAGAATGGATGTCTGTGTGTACACACATATAAATAATACTGTAACGGTAATGAATGCTGAACATAGCAAAGAAATGAAGATTTGCTGATAGTTCTCAGCATCCTTTAAAACAAAGTAGAAAACTAAGGTAGCCTTACATCTGAGAAAGTTTTCATAGTTTGGTTTGAACACAACTCTCTTTCAGTGAATATATTAGAAAAGTACATGACAGTTAGTAGGGTAGATAAAGGTTTCACTTGTTTTATATGTTCGTGCTTGCTTCAATTATTGAATTTTAATAATAGTTTTTCTTCTACTTTGCGGGTGTAGGGTACATGAAAGTTTCGCTTATTCTATATCTTCGCGTTTGTTTAAATTTTTGAATTGTGGTAATCCTCCTATAGGCTTTTTTTGTTCTTCGCACTAAATCGTTACTCAGCAAAGATGTTTTACCAAAGACGCGAACCTCAATAAATGCGGGCTATCTTCATTTCAGTATAATATCATATATGAATGGCAATTAAGTGCCAGTTAACTTAACCAGTCTTCTTCTTTTCTGTTATCTTGTTTTACTTTTTTTTTTTCTATAAGTTAAGTTACTCTTCGTGTATGTATAGTGGTCTGCCTGTGTGTTATGTTTAGCCCTGCTAAATGTGCTTCCGATGTATGTTTCTAATTATCTGCCGCACCCATAGTTTATACGTAAACTTATATATAACTGTTATTACCGTAAATGTCATGTGACATTTGTAGAACAAAATGCTTATGTGTCCTTCGCATGCCACGTACAGGATTGTTTTATTTTTCGCAAAAAAAAAACACTCGAACAATTGAAAATTAATCTTGAGGGAAAAGCAATTTTTTTTTCTTGTTTTATACGCTTTTATTAATATTGATATTTAATCTGTGCGAAAACATAATTCACATTTGATTTATTTCTCGTCCGAATATATGATATACATTTTATTGTTATTATTTAATTAAAGTGGCACATTATTACTTAATTAAAATGATTTATTATTCATTTAGTGGAAAATATGTAGTAAAGTAAGAAATACAATTAAAAACTTCAGTAATGGGGTTCCATGATATGATCGATATCTTATTTCGTTGAAAACGCATTTATTATGCAATAAAAATTTTTTTCTCGGCGCAACGACAATTTTTGACAAATGCTATTACGGTAACTTTTTCTTATTAAGACTTAAAATTAGATAGGTAAAGCATCCCAGGAAAGCGAATAGGGTCCTTAAGTCCTTAAGGTTTACGTAATAGAGCTAATAAATAAATAAACAGAAATACATAACAGTTCGTTAGTTGAACTAAAATTTCTTAATTAAGCATATTATTCGTAGATCCTATCATGTAAAGAATTGCCCCATATTAAGTGATCCTTACTATCCTCTTATATTTCATATTCTTTTCATAGATATCGCGAATTTTTGTCTTACAGTTAAGTTGTGCTCTATAAATAGTGTTGAAATTGGAGATAGCGAATCCATCGTAATATGTAGCATCGGAAATACTACCCCTGCCTTTTAAACATTTTCTTAAATGAGCTTATTAGGTCTAGCCATAAGCAACTTCGGTTTTTTCAGTAGACACTTGTGTTGCTTTCATTGAATAAAGAAGCTACGTTAATTTCATTATGTATTCGCCCTTATTACGTACGACCTTCTTCCGTCTTCCTGCCAGTTCATCAATTCTCTCCTTGTAAAATATGGTTTGGACTGGAAAAAATTTGCGGCAACCTGATCGACTTGCTCTTCAGAATTGAAGATGTTTCCATTTAAAAAGTTTTGTAAGGAACAAAAAAGTAGGTAGTCTGTTTGGGCAGTGTACGGGGAGCGAGGCGGATGCGATAAAAACTCAGGAATTTTTGCTTTAGTTATAGTCGCGCATTGTCACGTAAAAGAATAAAGTTTTTGCGATTGGCGAGTGCAGGACGCTTTTCATGGACTTTTTCTTGCGCTCTCTGCAGCTGCGGGACGTATCCATCCGCAGTAATCGTTAAATTCGGTTTCAATAGCTCATAATGAATTATGCCTCGACAATCCTGTCATAAGCACATGCTTACTTTCGGATCTGGTGGTGATGATTGATTCTTATCAAGCCACTGTGTTCGCGGTCATGTTTAAAAAAGTTTCGATTTCTATCCGTCGTCCTATTTATTGCATTCGCTCGACTTTTCTTAATTTCTCCAGGGGGAGTTTATTTTTGGGTATTCATATCTTTATTTTATGTTGGCCTTAAAAGGTCGTTGTCAATGTCGGAACGACGTCCCGTCCTCGATTCGCCTTTGAAGGTCGTTTCTCCAAAACGGAATTTTGCAAACCAATTTCTAACTGCCCGATCAGTTGTCAGTCCTTCACAAGATTCGACCTCATGTTAAATCATAGTTTAAAAAAAGGTACATTTTACTTTTTTGGAATGCTACAAATAAAACCTATTCTAATTAATATAAAACATGGTCACGAAAAGAGATCTTAGGCTGTCAAAGAATGTGACCTCCAGGAGACTCTGATAGCGAATGGGTTAAGGCAAGAGCAATACGTTATGTTAATCCAATAGGAAATTTTTTAGGCAATAAAACCTTGATCAGCGTATTTGTTCCAAAGCATTGGTAGGAATTTGTAGTAATAAGAATGATTATCATGAGATGGATAAATATAGAATTTCGCTATGCACTGTGCGAATGCTATTCGCATAAAAAAAGCGAAAATAGATTACAGCGAAACTTTGGAGTACTAAAAAAAAACCGAGAGATTTAAAACTTTATTTTCACATATTTGAAAAAAATTCTTTTTTTTTTTGCCCTTTTCTGAATACGGCTTGTTTGTCTACTAGAAAAGAAAAAAAAAAAAACAAAAATATTTCATTTCATTTAATTGATAACAGACGGCTAATTCAAACAATTTTTTGTTTTCTCGCTTTTCTTGTTTAATTACAGACTCCCGCAAAATTCAATGGAGCATAAAAAACTACAATAATCAATTCAATCGCAAACACATACTAGCTGAGTAGTTGAGTGGGTTGTAATTAAAATCGAAAATCAAAAAAATTAAAAGTCATTAAAAATCAAAAGGTTATAACACAAAATAAGTGAAAAAAAAAGAAAGTAATAAAAATAACGTAAAAAAAAAAAAATTAAACTAAAAAACAAACAAATAAATAAGTAAAAAAAAATTGAGTTAAGATTGAAGTAGAGTTCAGTGTATAATAAAATGGTATTGAAATTAAAAGATTAAAAAAAAACAAAATAATAATAATAATTTAATAAAATATTTAAATAAATAAAGGAAATTCGTATTTATATTAAAAGAAAAAAAAAAAAAGAGATAAAAATTTTAATTAAAATTTGCTTAACGTCAATAGAAACCACCGTCACAAAAAAATCGACAAAAATAAAAGGAGAAAAAAAATATTCATTTATCATAAAAACAAAAAATAAAACAAAAAAAAAAAAAAAATTAAAAAATAAATAAACGATGCATTGTCTATGTCGACCATCGCGGATTATGTCCGTGCGAATAAATTTATTGGATGAAACGGATTTTATACATGAAATCAAGGTAAGTGCCATTGATAATAACGACAACGAAAGCAATCCCAATCTCTTTATATACTTTATATGCTATTAACAGCGCGATATTAGCGTTTATTTTGACGCACACAACCGACACGTGAGTGTGGATTGAGTGTGAATGTGAAATGAAATGAAATGAAATGAAAATTATTGAAAAAACATTGATGGCTTAATAGCTGTTAGTTGTGAGTCTTCTTTATTTTCATCCGCAAACGTTTCATTCTGTTAGCTAAATGCGGTTCAATGAAGATTTCTTTCATGTTTAGATACGTTTTGTAGGAGCAATGCAAATAATGTACTTTACTTTTTCATAGGTAGCATTAAATGGGCGCAGGCAAATGACGTTAAATCTTGTATAGCATACATAAAATATGTTATGCTGACTTTCTATTCTCCTTCGAGTCTCTTTGAACATTTGCAAAGTCTTACTTATAAGCAGTTACCCTATAATTGCCTTAAGTCTCAAGTATTTAATGTTGTCTCTTGCGATCTTGTAGGGGCCATTAAAAATTATTTACTTTGATTCTACGTAGCCGTCTAGATGATAATTTAATTTCACAGGCATGCGGGATAAGTAAAAACGCTTTGAACGGGTTCCACGATTGTGTTCAAATATTTTTTTCATAATTTTTTTTTGTTGTTGTATATAAAATTTAATATTAATATTTAATATTATTTTAATATTCAATTTTTGAATTTTTACTTTTTATTTATTCGATAAAACCAAATTCTGCTATACGCCCTCTCCGAGAAAATTTTATTTCATAATCAGTATGACTCTCAATATAGGCCGATTTCGAGTGCAGCTTTGATGTGAAAGGCAAATAAGAATATTATAATGAGGCTACGCCGACTATTATATACCCTATATCATTTCGCCTTGTGTAGTTATTCGCTCGTGTATTATCATACCCCAAAATCTCCACATTATTTTTAAAGCCCCCATAATAAAAGGTTCGATTTTCTCTCCATATAAGAGTTTGCGATTCGTCATAGCGCCTATATAAGTGGGGATACCAAAATAAATAGACCTTTGTGATCCTAATTCCCTACCGTCCATTTTTTTTTTTTTTTTTTGCTGAAACGCTCCTACGACTTATTAAGACATTATGATATGTCTTATATGGAGCGGAGGAAGAAATAGACCCATATGGTACAAATTAGATCCACCTAAATTTTTTTATTTAAGATCAATTTTTCATCACAAAAAAAATTGGCAGTTAATCTATTTTGGAATATGAAGGGTCAACAGCATCCTTACCTGCGGTCGACCGACGTTGTCCAAACTCTTTAAGGCAGATTTCTTTGTGAACTTATTATTATGAGCCAATTTATATGGAGTATAAAAAGAAGGAATCGCGTCTCAGCATACGTTCTTCGATTGCTGGATATCAACTTTGGAAATATGTTCCAGCAGAAAGTACTTATGCTGTTGAGATCCCCAGCCTGCAGTAGAGGCATGAAGATTATACAAACGAAAAACTATAGTCTATTGTCTGATAGATACTTTTTCGTTTATGCCATCAAGCTGTGGAACGCTCTACCATCGAATTTATAAATGACCGCCAGCGCTGGTGGGCTTGAACAGGATTTTGAATTGCAACTAACCGTTAAGCCAATTGGTATTCTACTGTTTTTCATTGCCACACCTAAGTCAACCTTTTTTTGTATTTCTGTATTCCTGAATGCGCACCATAATTTGGAAGATAGTAAGGGTGTAGGTAATTGTGTATTGCACTAATGATTGTTCCACATGATATTTAAAAGGGTTGAGCCTTGTTGTATAGGTGATAACTTAAGTAAATAAAATAAAAAAAAGAGCAGGTGGTCGTATGCAGCTCCCCTTGGCCGCTTTCGAAATTTTACCCTTCCGGAGAAGTTTTGCTAATTATTATTTCAATTATTTTTACTCTCGCAGCCCCAAAAAAAAAGAAGCTTTCCCACCCAATGCTTTTATTAATAATTCATAGCACTATGAACTTGAATAAATTGATTTGACATTTAACGTAAGTACTGAAAAATTAGTATTGTTTTCAACTTTCATTCCCCGCTCCCTATTACGAAAAGAATGCTTGACCATCCAGACCATTGAACTTATCCAATATTAATCTTTTTTAATTTTCTATACTTCATTGTAAAATGTTTGAACATGTTAAGGACAATTTGAAACATCCACAAATAACTTTATTGCAAATACATACTTTCTTACGTACGTTTACATATACATGCAAATAGGATGGACGATATTGAAGCAAAAACCAGCAAGTGTCATCATTCACACATTACACCATCGTCTGTGTACCACTAGACATCGTTTTAGGTCTTATCTACCGCGACCACTGCCGTAAAACAACTGAACCTTATCATCGTCATTGTCAACGTTATCGTCGAAACAGCCACAACTAATATCATCGTAAACATCAGAGTTTATGACACTGCTCGTCATCTCGTCTAAATGTTTTGTTAGCACTATAGTTTAGTTTTAAATAGAGTGTAACGGAAAGAGAGAAAGACTGTGTGCCAGATAAATATATATATATATATATATATATATATATATATATATGTGTGTGTAAATATATATACACATATGCATATATGCATAGTACCCATACACCTTCGCAAAGTCACAATTACATCGATGGGTGTGTGTGTGTGTGTGTGTGTGTGTGTGTGTGTGTGATATGAAAAGTGCACACGTTGCTAAAATGACGTTAGCTATCCCACATACAATATTCCAAAATACCATAGTTACCATAATCAAGGTACACATAAACGTAGCCACATACAAACGCCCTCACCCACGTATACACACATACAGAAGCCGACATACAAAAGCTCTCTCATAGATGTAGGTTCGCACACAATCTCATATTACTGTTATTACTTTAATAGTGTCATGTGATACATATGATGCCATCGCATTACACTGAACAATAGAGAGAAGACATAGCCTTTGTTCGGTACCTGTGTGTGTGTGCGTTTGCATATCTATCTGTCTATGCCTTTATGCGCACATGCATACGTTAGATTTAATCCACTTCAATATCACTCATACGTCTGTAGGGATTTTTAAATAGTTTGATTGTTTCACATTACCGACACACCGTAATAAGTTATATATGGGGTGGGGAAGGGGGGGGTACTGTTACGAGGTTGTGGCCGCTGCGATGATTTCATGTAAACGGATACATATCTCGTGAGTTGAAATCTTGTGCTAATTACCTTCATTTGCGGTCGAATGTTAAATAAAGATATGTTGCCAAATGTACTCATTATCGGTGTACCTATCTTACATACATAACACAAAAAGGGATAAAGATCTCATTTGTAATAATTGTACAACTACGTCTGAGAAATAACATACTTAACCCTTTTTGCTTACTTTCTTTGTTTCATTGCAATATTTTAGTTAGTTTATAACGTTATGGATCGAAAACTCTCTTGACTTTACGTCAACTAGTTGTACTTTTAAGAGTATACGGATGTATGTTCGCTCGTGTTTAGTGGAAACGTAATCTTTCGTTAAATCATAAGCGGGGATTGGAAACATCAATTATTTTATCCAGCTGTAATTCGTAATGCATTTAATGGAGAATAAGTAATGCTCGCTTATGCTTCCTTATCGTCTTCCCTTTGACACTCTGAAGAACAAATATAACCAATTAACTGATATTTACTTCTCGGATTCCTGGACCATTTTCAAATTTGGTTTTTTTAAGCATTGCACGTCTTACAAACATATTTACTTTCCTAAAGAAACTCAAACGGACTTGAAAAATATCCAAGGGTTTGTTTTCATTAACTTAGTCTGTTTTTGATACGATTTGGATATGAGAGTATTTTCTGTTAAACTTTTTACTTAAATTCCCAAACTTCATACTTATTATATCTCACTTCCTAACATAGATCTCTTGTAAAGTTAATCTTATATATCGTTGATCGTATCGAAAGTCATATTATTATCAAAGTAAGTGAAATTTACCAGAAAAACGGCCAAGTTTGAGTAATTGAAACATTTAATAACAAAAATTTTGGACTCTTATGGAATTTGCATTTTAAGTCTTGCAAAAGGGCGAACGAATCTAAAATCCAACTGAATTGAGAATATAATATCCCGCGGTACTATATTTATAGGTACATCGTATATGCCGAAATTCTTCAGTAACAGCTGTGTAAGTTACGATAGAACACTCTATTTAAACTCTCTTTTAAACTTCGCCTCATATTTTGGTCTTTTTCGATCGGATTTCCCTAATCGAAGCAACACAATTATCTCATGATTTCTGCGCTTGAATTTTTCGATCTATTGCTGTTAAGGGAGCTTTGAATAAAATAAATAGGATTCTATTTAAATGCTTTCATGGTTTCAGGTTATTAACATCCAACAATGTAGTGGCTTATGCGGTGGTTGGTCGTGGCCAGAATGCAAATTTCAAAATAAATGGAATTATTTTCCAAGTTAGTTATTATGCATTAAGCTAATTAATTTACGAAATATTTACCAAACATAATCTATAGCATTTTTATTTAATATAATCTGATAGACTATAAACGCTTTAATTGACTTATAAGACTTAAGATTATTTATAGAATTCATATTGTATGCATTATATGCATCTATGTATCTATGCATGTATGTTTTAACTACCTATAAAGACATAAATCTAAAAAAAAAAATAAAAAAAAAAAAAAAATAAAAAAATTATTATTATAGGATTTGTTATATATTTTTGTTTTTTTTTTGTTTTTTTTTTTTTATTGTTCTTTTACGTCTTTGCACAATACCAAATACAATATTATTGTTTATAAGCAACAAAGAGAGAAAACAAATCAATAACATATTAAATGTAATAAAGTATAGCATAGCAAATAACCTGAGGTTACAAATGTTCCTGTAAAACATGCATTCAACGTACAATGACTTTAAATCTATAACGTGTATGACTGACTGACTTGAATACAATAAGTTCATGTGCTACATAT